TCTGGTTCTGGTTCAGCATCTTTATCTCCAGTGAACCAAACGTGACCCTGAACCTCAACTTGAAGCTGAGGTGCTGTTGGATCCAGGTGACTCCTCCCACCTGTACAGGTGACTCCTCCCACCTGTACAGGTACAGTTTACACTTCATTTATAGATCCCATGTCTGAGACTTAAAGCTGAGTGTTTAACAGGATCTATTTTTCCTGTTATCAGCGTAATATAGGAGCTAATCAACTAATGACCAAACTCACACGACCAGGTTATCTCGAGGCCACGCCTTCTCCTCCACAGGTAACCCATCTCTCATCTCCGTCTGTGTCACAGGGAAATACCGTCAGCTGAACAGAAGCTTTTTTTGTGGTGACAACACAAGTGTGCTGCATCAGGCTCCTCCCACTGGTGACATCACAGCTGTGTGGCTATAAAGAGCGATGAGTGGCAGAGGGAGCTGCGCGTCATGTGGTGTCGAGGTTTCCTGCAGCAGACGGTCAGACGTGTTTCCAGCAGGCAGGTCAGTGTGTGACTGATAACTATTGATAATCTATTGATTGATTACTGTTCGTCGGACCACAGTGGGCTTCTTCACATGATGGAGGAAAAGCGAATAACTTCTCTCTCGTACCTGTCCGTCAGGCGGGCGTCATCTTCGATGTGGATGGCGTCCTGGTGCGTGGGTCCGCCGTGATCCCAGCTGCTCGGCGAGCTTTCAGGAAGCTCCTGGACAGTAACAACAACTTCCTATTTCCCACGGTCTTCGTCACCAATGCAGGAAGCTGCCAGAGACGCCACAAAGCCCAGCAGCTGTCTCACCTGCTGGACGTCCAGGTAGGAGGCTGCAGAACTTCCTGTTTTGATTCCAGCTGTGTAGGCGCCGTTTATCGATCGATTATTTGAGCTTTTTTGGACTCTTACGTATAATTTAACATAGTCAGCCTGTTTCCTCACCTCTCAGTGAGCCTCCGCCCTCCCTGTGTGTGTGTCTCAGGTGATTCTGGTAAAGTTAATCTGCGCTCGCCGTGTTCTCGCCGTGGAAGCAGTGACACGGCTGTGACACGGCTGCACAAACACACTGAGGGCTTCTCCGTGTTCACGGGACTCTGTTGAGCTTTAATGTCATTAATTTATAACTTTAAGAGGTCCCATGACTCTAAATTCAACTCAGGAGGTGATGAAGAGGAGGAAGACAGCCCTAACATCACATGACTGTCACATGGTGCGAGGGCTTGGCTCTGGTTGGTAGAGCTACTGATACGAGTACCGATACTCTTTAAAGGCAGCTGATGCAGGAGAGCAGAATCATCTATCTGCTGATTCTGAACACATTTTACTGACTTTGACTTTACAGTAATGAGTTAACACAATAAAACACACCTTTCACCTCTTATTTTGAAGAGCTGGATGTAACTGTTCCTGTCTCTAAGGAGCAGCTCAGCTGACATGAACATTGTTTAAGGCTGTCAGT